CAGTACTATGCCAAATGCTAGTTTTGATGGGAGGACAATTATTCATTTTTCACACATATTTTTTTTTATTTGTAGATATGGGGAGGTGTAAAAATTCCTCACTCCTTGAAGCAGTTCTACAACATAGGATTAACTTTCACTGCCAAATGCTTTTGGAAATGTTCCATTTGATAATTTTTGCTGTGTATTTTCAGCTAATTCTGAGAATGGTGCTTTAAAATTGATAGTCTGAGATAAAACCAAATACAGTTTATTAAAGGGCATTATTGCTGGTTGTCTTTTTGTGTGTGTGATGACAGATGTATATGTTTCATTTTGAGTTTTCTAAAATATAATGTTCACCGATTTCAGACAGTAATGAAATACGAAGCATTTGGGAATATCTTATTTTTCAAGGGAAACTTAATTTTCTTATTTAGGTTCTAGTTTTTTTTCATGTGAGCTGAGTGATCCATCATTATCTTCGAAGATGTTCATCTTTTTGTTGTTTAGATGTCTAGTTAAGTAAAGTTATCTATCTAAATTGCATGATTATTTCTGCAGGGATGTTTTTTTTTTAAATTGATTATGGGGCATCGTGTTGGCATTCATTCTTAGCAATTACTCTTTCCAGTCTTCAATAGTTCATTCATCAACATTACAACTGAGTCCATCTACCTAGCTGTTGATTGTCTTCTTCTTTTTCCTTCCACCTTTCCCAGCATTAAAACGTTCTCCAAAAAGCTTGGTCTTTGCATAATGGGTCTGAAGGATAATTTGAGCATGGTCAAGACTCCAGGTTCAGTGATCCATTTGTTTGTTTGCTTGGCTATCGATGGTGTTCTCAGAAACCTCTCATATCAAAATTCTAAAATGTCAGTACTATTTCTATTCCTGCTTCTTTAAGTCCAACTTTTCCTTCATAGAGCATCACAGGGACTATATTGCTTGCACTGTTGAGATCTTTTGTAAACACATCACAGCTTCTGAATATCTTATGATCTTTGTAGACACATCATAACATCTGAATATCTTTCAGTAGAAAATGTGGAGCTGTCATATATGGGGTGCATAATACAAATGACTTTCTTTTTCTCTTGCTACATTCACTAATTTCCTTGAAATTGTCAAGATTATTGGGGCCTTTGATCTAAATTCTATTTTTTAAATCTGTATTCTGCAAGTCTTTGTGGTGCTCTGAGGTCATTAACAGTTTAGCCTACCTTTTACTTTCTCCCATTACCACTTACAATCAAAATTGTAGGCATTTTAGGACTGGCTAGCACACGTTACAGATTGCGATACATGTCTTGTAAACAACCAGAAGTATGTAATCCAAACGATAGCCTTCATTTACTGTAGGTTTCCAAGAATCTGGAATTAAATTGAGGTAACTTATGTGCCTTGTTTTTTTTCAAGGAAGGTAAATACACTTGCTTTGATCATTTGTTCTTTTCTTCAGCCTACATTTATCAGTGAAATTCAAAGAGTTCTTTGCTGTGTGTCATTCTCTAACAATTTCTGGGAATTTATCTTACATCATCATCATCATCATCATCATCATCATTATTTCTTCTCCTCCTCCTCCTCCTCCCTTTTGTGTTGTGATTATTAGGAATAGTCTGCTGGAGCATTTCTAAGAAAACAATGTACTAATAAAAATTCTGTACAGAATGTAGTGGTAAAATAAAAGTGCTACTTACTCTTTGCTTTTGAGCTTATTTTCCCTTCTTCGCTGAAACACAATGTTGTATGTACTCTACCCCAAATGGCCAGTATGTACATTGTACAAGTGCTTTATCAAATTACGGTAATATATTTTAGTTCCCATATACGTGCAAACAAAGGCAATGGTAACAGTAAGGTTCTGTGATATTTTCTTTTACTGGCTTAGAATGATTTGGTAATTAAGCACTGAACTAATATTGCAAGACTTTCATGAGATTAAAAAAAAACAGTTTTAGAGATGGGTGCCTTTGCAGCATTACAATTTAGATAGGTTGTAAATCAGGACAATATGAAAAAGGAATAAAGTCAAATCCCATATAAATAATGTATGTCATAGTAAAGGAGCAAGAGTATTTTCATATCTAAGCACCATAGCGAAATCATATTACTTAAAACAAGTTTGGTATTAAACAAATTTGCATATAGGACTGACCATGATTATTAGCCCATGATAATTGAAGGGCAGATTTGTAAACAGAATGGTAAGTGATGAATAAGGGGGACGAAAAGCATATTGGGGCTATTGTGTTCATGCCTTCAATGAATCCCCAATCATATCCTGGGTTACACTGAAAACAGTGCTAGTCTAAGGGAGTAAATGGGAAGATTCATCAGGCTTCTTGTATTTTCCTCCATCAATTTTTTATTTAAGGAGAAAGCAATATGACCCAGACATATTAACAAACATTTATATGTTTTTGTTGTAAATGGGTTTTTTTTTTTTTTTACCAATTTATCATCCAGGAACACAGATATGGATCTATGTGTAGCATACTATCCTGAAATTTTGTAGAGCAGTTGTGTCCAACCTTTTGGCTTGCCTGGGCTGCGTTGAGTAAAGGGGAATTGTCTTGGGCCACATATTTTATAATCTAGTTAAGGTATATAAATCACAAAATAATGTTAAAAGTTTACAATCTTGTGGGGCTGCATTGGTAGCTGTCCAAGGCTGCATGTGGGCTGGGGGCTGGACACAGCTAATGTAGAGAAACTAATTATATCCTAATTGTAAAGAAATATCTGTCTGTCTATCTCTCTCTCTGCAGTTAACTGGCTTGAAATAAATTAAGCTACGTCTTTCAGTTTATCAACCATATTAAACCCAACACATTAGGAAGGTTAATATAGGACTTCTTACAGTAGCTGCTTAATAGGATTGTATTGGGGGTGAAAATTTGAGTTTTCCAAAACTAAGGTGCAACAACAGAAAGAGTAAGTGATTAGGTCACTATGGTGCTGAAATACTAGCTGTGACAGAGGATTGATTATGCTTTGTTCCAGCAGCAATGAGCATCCTTCTCTCATTTACTTTTCAATCTTTCCTTAAAAAGGAAACCATCTTACCCGAAGAACTGTCTCACCCCAATGGGATTAGCCCATCTCACCCAAGCCAGCAGAAAAGACACGTTGTGGACCATGTTGATCGAGGAACTTTGGCTGGTGCAGTCCAGGAGAAGAGCCTTTTCTGTTGTGGCTCCCACTCTCTGGAACATCATGCTCCCCAAGGTGAGATTGGTAACCACCCTTTTGACTTTCTGAAAGGATGTGAAGATATGACTTTACCAGCTGGCATAGGGCCCCAATGAAGGCGTGGCATCCTGGCAGTGGTTAATGGATTAGACATGACCCACCTCTTCCCTGTGTGCACTTGTTCTCTTCCTCTCCATCTTGGTCAATTTAATTTTAAAGGCTGAGCGACAAAGAATTGAGGCCTTTGAACTATGGTGCTGGAGAAGACTCCTGCGAGTCCCTTGGACTGCAAGGCGTTCAAACCGGTCAGTCCTAGAAGAGATCAACCCCAACTGCTCTTTAGAAGGCCAGATCCTGAAGCTGAATCTCAAATACTTTGGCCACCTAATGAGAAGGAAGGACTCACTGGAGAAGGGCCTAATGCTGGGAAAGATTGAGGGCAATAGAAGAAGGGGACGACAGAGAATGAGGTGGCTGGATGGAGTCACTGAAGCAGTAGGTGTGAACTTAAATGGATTCCAGAAGATGGTAGAGGATAGGAAGACCTGGAGGAACGTTGTCCATGGGGTCGCGATTGGTCGGAAACGACTTCGCAATTAACAACAACAAATTTATTATCTTAACGTTTTATATGGTATTTTTATTGAATGCCTATATTCTAACTAGAGTTGCCTTTGGCGAGATGAATGGCTTTAAATTTAATTTTTTTTTTTAAAAAAAGGAGCAGAGCAAATTTAATTGCTGGAATTAGGATGCACTGAACAACACCTTATTCATGGTACTGGTAGATGACTTCATGTCTCTTAGTCAATTACTTTTTCCAGCTTTTTGCATACTTCTCTCTTTTTGAAGCTCTAAACAATCCCTAGTAAACTCCTAAAGAATGATTCCACATCAAATAGAACTTCATGATTAAATACTTCAGGTTGCACCCATTTGGACTTAAAACTTGACCAATTAAATGACCAACTAGACACTCCAAATGAAAGTAGGAAGACTGGGGAAGGGTGGTGGTGATGGTGATTGTAATACATCTTTATATTTTACATATATTTTGTATATATTTACATAGTGTGTACAAATGGATGCAGAGGTTATATGCTCTTCAATCTAAAGTTTATTTTAAGAAGACTGGATTGTTGAGTGACTCACATGAGTTGCTTTTTCCCAACCATTAATATTGTTATAGGTTGGTGACATCCGTCAAGTAAGTACTCCAATGCCATTTGCTACAAGGTAGTTAATTATTTATTATTGGCTAGCTAAAAATAAACTCTTAGATATTTAAATGTTTCAATATTTAAATTACATTGCCAGTACTAAAACAGACTGAAGTATAATCTTAGCTTTTTGTTCATATTACTCCCATATATCTTACATAGAGAAAGAGATATGAGGTAGGTTATGTTAAAAAATATTTCAGGGAAAGGAATAAAAGTGAAAGGAATGTCAGCATTAGAAAGAGAAACCAAATACAATCTCCTGTAGCGATACAATTTCAATTAGTTGGAACAAACAGAATAATTGTCCCAAAGATGGTTTTTCTAAAAGGCAACTGGACTTTCTTGGTTTTTCCTTTGAAAATGTTTTGCTTCTCATTCAGGAAGTGAAATGTTTTCAAAGGAAAAAAAACCCCAAGCAATTCCAGCTGCCTTTTGAAAAAAGCACCTTCGGGGCAACCATGCGCTGGATGATTGAGAATCTCCATAGACAAACAGAATAATTCCCGAAAAGCAACATGGGACTAACATTTCAAATTTATACCTTTACATATTTACTTGCTCCTGCTGATTCCACCATAAGAAATTTCAAAGTAAAAGTGCTACGTCAACCAAGTATCATTTATTCATTACAGTGGATTACAGTTCCAAACAGATGTGTTTAAAGGCTGGAGATATACATCTGAAAAAATAGTTTTCACAAATATTATACAATTTGTAGAAAATATTTTTTTTTAATACGTACATACAGATTTCACAGAAGCAGCAATGCCAATATGCTTGTATTTAACTGTTCATAGACTCCTTGGTTTGTTTATAATCCTGGCTGTTCTTCCAGCAGGTTAGTTTCATCACATCTAAGCGTACCTATAAAGATGTTTTAAAAAGTAAAAGTTGGATGATGCATACAAGATGTTTCGGCAGACAGAATTTGCACAATGAAAGCTCTATCTGGATGCATGCAATGACATAATTAAAGCCACATGCCTTCATTTGTTTTCATTAAAATCACCACATGGCCATAAATCTAATTTGTATCATAGCGTGGCCATATCATCACATTCACAATTTTGATCACACATGAAGACATTATGAGAAAACTGGAAATTAAGGGGGACCCAACATTGCATCAAACCGAGTGGGTGAAACAAAGTATGAACATTTGAAAAGTGGGGGTGTGGGGTGAGAGTCCCACTGTGGTCACTTATAGATAGCAAAGGTTTATGTTCTGGGTTCAATGCTAACAAGTTCAGTGCTAACAAGCAATGTTTCTTCTTCCTGACAAGAGACAGCATTAGATGTTAACTTATAAATTCTAAAATAAAAATCATTTTACAAGGCAGCAATTACTATGAATAAAAGCTCAAGGCGCTGCTTACCTAAAGAATGGATTCTTTAAATCAAGCACATTGCCTGATTTAAAGCCTGTCTCATCCACTATGGCAACAATCTGGATGTCATAACTCTGCCTGTATCATAAATAGGAAATACAGTATAATGTAAGCAATTGGATATGTAATCTTTGTTGAACAATAAATGGGTCGATACTACTGTTTTGATCATTTGATCCTAGAATGAAATTACTGTTTTGTACACATTCTCCAGAACTTTTTCTCGTAAAAATATATTATTAAGCAGTACTGAATTTGGGAGTGGGGGTTTTCCAATGCAGATACAAAAGAAACATTTGGGTTCTGTCATGGGTTTATGTCATTGCAAAAACAGAGAAACTGAATTTAGGAATTAATGTAGCTGTGAGGGATCCTTGGTGCTCTCTGAGCTTGCTTGTTTACTTGCAGATGTTTCATTACCCAACCTAGGTAACATCATCAGTGACAGCAAACCCCACTCCTTACTAGCACTGATGATGTTACCTAGTTTGGGTAATGAAATGTCTGCAAGAAAACAAGTTCAGAGAGCATCAAGGACCCCTCATTTCGACCCTGAGCTACAAATATTATCTTTTATTAGTAATGTAGCTGCATTTGTCTTCATAATGCATTTTTTGATACTCTTCAGAAGCAAATTTTTGAAGAATGAGCTCACACATCATTAATGCATAATATTAACAGTAATGTTGTAAATAATTCTAAGCTAAAGCTGAACTATTACAAGTAATTCCCTTTGGTAGAAGAAGTCCTTGACTTACAACTGTTTATTTAACTACAATTGAAGTTATGGCAGCTTCAGAAAAAGTGATTTATGATCCATCCTTAAAGTTATGATTGGTGCATCACTCCTGCAGTCACAAGATTGGAATTTTAACCATATCTGAAATGGTCTTGGGGGTCTATTCCAAATGGAAAGACAGAATACTACAGTGGATACAGAAAGTCTACACACCCCTATTAAAAAAGCCAAGTGTTTGAGATGTAAAAAAAAAATCAGACCAAAATAAATCACTTCAGATTTTTTTCTACCTTTAATATAAGCTATAATATTCAATTGAAAAACATACTAATCTTTCAGGTGGAAAATTTTTAAAAAAGTACAATAACACTAGTTCTTTGGAAGTGATTATACCTTCCATGGCAGCCATTTTGTGAATGGGCAAAATCCCTTCGGGCAACCATTGGGCAAGAGCACTCATAGATGTCTTCAGATGTGCCCCACCAGCTCCCAAAAAACTGGAGATTCTGGACATCCATAATGACTAACCTCTAGTGTACTGTATTAATATGCAAATTCTGGTTCTTATTAATAGCTCTTTTTTTTTGCAGGTTCTGCTAGCGTTTTTTCCAGCTAAATGCATCTGCTGCTACATCATACTGCCCAAAATACATCTCTATTGGTTCTGCCAGTGTTAAAAGTAACAGGAAACAACTAATGTTATTCCACTAAAAATAGTTACTCCACAAAAGACATTATGTGAGACAGCTGGACAGCATTAACCTGTCGTGTGCACCATGAAAGAAATCTGCTTACCGTTTGTTTGCTACAAATAAGACCTCCCCTGAAAGTGTCTCCCCTTCTTTGGCAAAGAGAGGAGTTTGGAAAAGGCAGCGAACTTGATACCAATGGGTCAGAGGCTCGGTTGGAGCAGTGGAGAGCCAAACTGTTACCCTTAACATGAGAAAATCAATGGGAGAAGAAATGGAAATTAAAGTTGCTGTGCAGCAATTTTATGAATGTTCAAAAAAAGCAAGAGAGAGAGAGAAAGAGAGAGAGAGAGAGAGGGAGGGAGGGAGGGAGAGAGAGGGAGAGAGAGATAATAGCACAGTTAAGGAATTTCCTCTTAATAGAAAAAGTTAAGAGTTCCCAGAAAGATTTATGCTCTATAAATATACCCTAAAATGACAAAACAGTCTTAAGAGTCTGGTAACACATTTAAGGCTAGCCAATTTTATTGGGGTATAAGCTTCTGAAGATGGGAGCTTTTGCCTACAAAAGCATAGGCTGCCATAATGTTGGTCAATCCTGAAGGTGCAGCGAGATTCCTTGTCTATTTTATTGCCATGGACTTTGGCGTCTTTCCTTTCCTCCCATCTGTCTCATAAAGTGCTAATTTCTGGGATGACATCTTAGATCCAGTCAGGATGTGATTTGTTTTTGATTCACCATATTCTCTAAAACAGACTCAATTAGTATTTTATTTTTGATTTGGCCAACACAATCAATATTGGAAAGAAGGAAAAAAAATACATACATTGAGCCAACAAATGCCACATCAAACCAAAATGCCAAGCCGTGAATTAATCCAGATTGCATCATTTGAAACACAAAGGGGATTTCCACTCTACAGAAGGAAATAAGAAAAGATTAACAACATAATTAGAAAACCGCAATTAAAAATATGAAAGTGTCATGAAGATCGGCATCCTTAAAAACATTTGATCAGAAATCAAATTAAATGGATTTTCATCCAAGGAATTGTATCTAAAATAATAGCTTTTCTAGATGAAATATTTATTGAGCATATATACTAAATTTAGCACCATGTAGTCCTTAATAAAAAAAATGACTGCAGCCCAAAGGCAAAGAAAAATAATTTATTTCAATTGAGGCCATCAACACTCACAGATAAAAAATTTCCTAGGTTCATTTGTACTCTCATTGCAAGTCCAAATTCTGTGTTTCAAGAACACATTTTAGAAGCAACATCAGAATGCAATGAGTGGCTGTAACTTTTCTTATCCAATTATCTAAGAGTTGCCTAAATTGGATGGCATACAATGAAATGACAATGCACATGGGTTGGGTCACTTTATACTAAATTACCTTCCACTCTAAATACTATGTTTATTTTAGCAGAGTATTTTTTTTCTTCCATTCAGTTGTGTCCAATTCTTACAGTGAGTAGCTTGCTAATAAAGTGAAAACTATACCAACAAACAGTGGTTTAAAATGGAATGGTGGGAAATAGAATGATAGTCTCTTACCTATGCAAATCTTCCTCTTCTGCTTCTAGAAAACTAACAGTGTATTTCACAGTCCGGGCCATCAAAATTCTAATGTCAAATGTGTCCTGCAAATAAAAATGGAAAATAAAGGACACATATTATGATCTAGAGTAGAATAGAATAGAAGAATAGAATAAAAACTTTATCACTTTAAATGTACACTAACTCGGCATATATTAAAATGAAATTTCTTTGCATTAAGCTCTCAAAAAAAATACCATTATGCATATTCCCCCCATACACATATGAAACAGAGAAACATCACAGTCTAATTCAAATGTATGCATATACATGGTGGGGGAAAAAAGAATCCTGCAAATTTACAAGATGGCATAAGGAACAAAGCTGTTACAGAATCTAGTAGTCCTACTATAAATACTTCAAAATCTCCTCCCAGAGGGGAGCAACAGAAACAGACTGTGAAGTGGGTGTATGGGGTCTTTAACAATGCTTCGAGCTCTAAGCATATAGCGCTTGTAAGCAGTATCCTGAATAATGAGAAGCGAACTTCCTATAATCTTCTCAGCTGTCCTTACTATTCTCTTTATGAACCTTCTATCTGAGGCACTGCTACCACCAAACCAAATAGTGATGCAGTTTGTTCAAACACTCAATTATGCCTCTGTAAAAAATGGCCAAGACAGAAGGAGAAATATCTGCTCTCCTAGGGTTGACAACTAGGTCTAATAACTTTCATATGAAATCCCAATGTTAAATATAAAAATAAATAAATTTATTGAAATCTTGTAAAATCAGAGCTTGTGAAACATCAATGTTTTCATATGATCTTTCACAAGATTTTAAGACAGAATCTCAAGTTTTTATGAGATATTTGCATTTCCATGTGAAATTTTTAGTGTCTAATGGGACTAGGCAACATCTTAGTGGAGGTGTGCACGTGTATAAGAAACAAACTGGTGGTAAACTTGAGAATTCCTTCCTTGTATATATCACCAACCCATATTTGCAATAAAGAAGCCAAAATAAATGTAAAGTCTCCAAGTCAAACTCAATTCCTGTTTTCTTCTTTGGCAAATCCATTTTGTTTTCTTAGTAGCATGGAAGTGATTTATTACTGCCAATTTCTATTTTATTTTTTTTTACAATCCAGTCTAGCCTACAGCTCTGATATTTCCTACAAATCTCTCATTCAGGTAATAACCCATCTAGGTAATTATCAAGCATGTAAAGCTTTTGGGATTAGTCAAAGTAATCTTGAGGTATAAAAGAGGCAAAAACTATTTATTATTATATAATAGAAATGGGCACATTGCAGAGAAACAAATAGCAGCTCCAGAGCTCCAGACAGTCCTACATAATTCCACTTGATTTTTTTCCTGTTTTTGGAAAATATAGTGAATAAAGAATATACATTTTCATAAATTAACCTGTTATGCCTTTCACTTAAAAATCATATTCATAAACATGTTCTACATAAACTCTTCCTATCCAAATAAAATCCTCTAAATTCATTTCAACAATAAATTATAGACTTCTCATTACTTTGGATCAGATGATCATAAATTACAACTTTTAAAAAATTAGCAATATTTCTCACTGTTGAATATTTTCAAGCAATCAAATAACCCATACTCTCACTATTGTCTGGGCCTGTGGAAAAAAAATTAACTAAGAAGCAAAGGAGATTAGCAATACGGTTAAAGGTTTTGGAGTTCTTTTGTTTATAACGTAATTTCCAGACTCCTTTTCGCTTTATTATATAAAAAAATGCATGTTACATATTGATCCTTTAAGGCTGTTTTATATATATTCATCAGTTTAGCATAAGTAAGTAAATCAATTTAAAAATGAGTACTTCTGATGCCATTTCTATGCATTTTTAAAAAGAACTGGCCGTGCTCTACTTCAAGACATATTTATACACCCAGAAATGGATGCTAAGTATCATTCTAAATATTTTCCTTTATTTTCTGCGAGTACAATATCACCATAAATCATTTCACTAAGGGAGATAGATAAAATAATTTTTCTCTTGTTACAACTGGAAAATCTGTTTGGAGGTATACTGATTTCAACTAGAAAAATAGCAATGACATGAACTAACTAACTGTTCATGGGATACCATTTCTTTTCTTATTTTGGATATTTTGGATTGGAAATATACAGTCCTCAGGTCATGACAATAATCGGGACTGGAATTCCCATTGTTAAGCAACACGGTTGCAAAACAGGACATCATGTGACTACATCACTTAGTAATGACAATCCTAGCACCCCTTGCCTTCCTTAAGCAAGGATTGTGGGTCAATAAGCAAGGATCTCCTGTCAAGAGTAAAAATTTGGCAGCTATGTGCCTCTTTGTTTTCATCTTGCCATTAGAGTAAGGGGGGGGGAGAGGATGTTTTTGATTGGGTTAGTTAGAAAAATAAAACCTCTCCAGTTCTTTGGAAGTTTGCTGACAGATGGCTGTTTGGAAACCTTTCAAGGACATTCTAGCAGGTGTGAAGAAGATAGCAGATGGTTCCCATAACAAAGAGAACCTGTTTACATGAGCTACGTTGACATCTGGGGGGTTTGGCTGGGAATGTCATTGTTATAGGTTTTGATTTAATGCCTTGGGATTTTAGAGTTAGTTTTCCTTCGCCTATACCAGACCATGTATTCAGTAAACCAGTTAGCTTTTAAGAAATAACACTAATCGTGGACTTTTATTTGGATATTCGACCTGGAGGTTGACATCTCCCTTCAATTTCCTGCAAGCTTCCACCAGGCAAAGTCAAAAGCGTGGCTGGAAGGAAGTCTTAAGTTTTAGTTGGCTTGCAAGGAGGCCAACGGGCAAGTAAGTGCGACTGTCAGATTGGAGAAGGTGCGTAAGGATGGTGGGGAATGGCCAGGCTGGGGAAGATGTTGCCGGCATGTACATGCACTATGACAGTGATGGCGAACCTTTTAGAGACCGAGTGCCCAAACTGCAACCCAAAATCCACTTATGCATCGTCGAGTGCCAGGTGGGCATGGCCCATTGGGTGGGTGTGGCTGCAGTGGTAACGGCAGACTGGGTGGGACTAAAAAGTTCAATCAATCAATTCCAACTTTGCAAGATCTTTTTTTTCCCCACGAGAAGTTGAAATTGACTGATTGATTGAACCTTTTTTTTTACACAGCGGCAGAGGCCTAAAGCGAAAAGATTTTATAAAACCCAGCTGAAGGCCTAGGACTGGGGGGGACGGTGCGCGTGCCCACAGAGAGGGCTCTGATTGCCGCCTCTGGCACCCGTGCCATAGGTTCGCCACCACTGCACTATGATGTATGAGACCCCTAGGCTCTCGTACTCCATAGTCAGACCCCACAGGAAAAGATTGCAGGAGTGTGAGTGACTTACCAGGGTGACTTGCAAGCTTCTCTGCCAGCTTCCCCATTGACTTTGCTGGTGGGAAGCTGGCAGGAAAGATCACAAATGGTGACCACATGAAACGGGATCTTGCAACTGTCATAAGTGTAAGCCAGTTACAAATCACCCATGACCCTGGGGGCCCTGGAATGGCCAGAACTTTCAGGATCAATCATAAGTACAGATGGTCCTTGACTTATGATCACAATTGAGCCCCAAATTTATGTTGCTGAGTGAGAAATTTGTTAAGTGAGTTTTGCCTCATTTTATGGTTTTTTCTTGCCACAGTTGCTAAGTGAATCACTGCAGTTGTTAAGTTAGTAACATAGTTGTTAACTGAATCTGGCTTCCCCGTTGACTTTGCTTGTCAGAAGGCCGCAAAAGGTGATCACATGACCCCGGGGCACTGCAACCATCATAAATATGAATCGGTTATCAAGCATCTGAATGTAAATCACGTGACTATGAGGATGCTACAACGGTTATAACTGTGAAAAATGGTCTCATTAGTCACTTTTTTCAGTGCTATTATAACTTTGTATGGTCACAATGAACTGTTGTAAGTCGAGGACTACCTGTACCACTTGTTCAGCGTCTTTGTGTCTTCAAGCAGTTGTTGACCAAGTGTTTGTTAACTGAGGTCTACCTCTATACAAAAAAGGGAAAAAAGTATGAAGAGTAAGGACACAATATAGAGTTTGAGTTTAATCGTAACGAAGGCCTGAGACAGGATATTACAGGCTAACTTTAATAAGCTGTAAAAGAGCAAAATGTGGCTTGAGAAGAACCTGTGCTAAGACAAGGACAGTCAGTGAGAACTTTGAAAAAATGTATTGTCAAACTGAGTCTTTTTGAAGGACATGTTCTGAGAAATCTCAAGAGCTCCCAGGTGGGAAAAAATGGCCGCCTTTGGAATATAATGCAAAAGAAAGACGAAGTATATAAAAAAGGAAAAATAGCAGTTAACTTACTACAATGGGCTGTCTGAAGTATTCATCTACAGCTGCATTACGGAGACCGGACAGATTTACCCCATAAAAACATTGCTGATACCTGGAAGGAAGAATGTATTTGTTTTGCTTTTTAAATTAAATTCAGAGAAAGAAGTCTTACGGATCTCAGATCCATGCATATTATTAAAACACACACACGTCAGATCCATGCATATTATTAAAACACACACACACACACACACACACACACACACAAACATGAAGACTGACCAAGGCATTTTTTAATTGTAAATATATATATTCTGACTCTCTTTTTGTTTATTGGTAACTGCTTAATGGAGTAATTAACTCTGTAAAAAACATCCAGAGCCTTAAGCAATTTGGTTAAAAATAAATTTTGAAAGAATTAATGGTCACAATTCAGCTACAACATTAATTGTGGTACTTATGCACTAAAACTCTCCTTAAACCTTGGATAGATAGGCAGAGGCTGGCTTTTACAACCACACCATGCATGAAATGGTGTGGATATGGATTTCACAGGTGTTTTTTCAGAGGAAAATAATATTTTTAAAGGCAAAATAGATGGGAGGTCTCTAAGTAAAAAAAAAAACAGAAAAATAACTTAGCAAGGATACTCTGGCCTTTGAAATGGATTTTAAGCACCAATTTAGGGAGGACTGCAACTAGGCAAGAGACTGAAACTAGGCAAACTTGAACCGCATCAACATGCTCCTTTATTAAGACCATATGTATGAATGAAGATGAAAAGGAATGGCCAAAAAAAAGATTATAGTAGACTTATCAAACAAAGACAAAAACCACCTGGACATAATGGGAATGTTCAGGTTTTTGAACAAGGACTGTACTCCATATAGGTCTCAGTAAACATTAGTGGCGACAGAGGCGATGCTGAATACAGCACTTGGGCTCACACAAAGAATTGCTTCACAGGATTTTTAGTCCTGGTCTTAAGGGCAAAAGAAGTAATTATAGATTTGTGATTGATGCCACTCTGAACTTTGCTATCCATTAGAAGGGCGATAGATACCATTTTGCAAATGGTTTATTTTCCCTACTAGAACTGTATATTGGATAATTAAATAGCAGCACATTGATTTGATTTGTAATTAGATATCTAATGTAACATTCTACTACCTCAGGATTTTTAATTTAGTTAACAAAAGAATGACTATGCTTCTTAGTTCAATTTATAGACAAGGTACATGATGAGCAAGAGCAAGGAAAAGTTTTTTATTTGTGGCCTTGCTATTGACTTTCCATTTGGATGCTCTTTTCAGAAAAAAAATGGAGATTAAATGGATATCTTGAGCCATGGTTTGATGGAGTATCTTAAACGAACATAAAACTACAGAAGCTAGCGCTAATATCCTTTTGACAACTGGTGCATTTAATAAGCAAGAAATATATGAGCCTCAACAGCTGTGCCTTTATTCAGCCAGAATTCAAAAGAACCTGGATCCAGATGGTGTAAGTGGAGGATATTACTATATGATAATTGCATATTAATTTGAGCAGCCTTTTCCTAGTTGTTGTCCGCAGGAGATGATGAGAATAAAGGACCAACACATCTGGAGGATACCAAGTTAGGCAAAGGTAAATTAAAATGTTCTTCAATTATGTCTCAGCATATTTATGTTGTCAGTTTGAGAACTTACATCTTCTCTTTCAAATGTTTACTTGACAGAGTTTGGTATCTTCATTTAGTCTTCTATTATTAAAGTCTTCTATAAAGACTTTATTGATCTTGACTGATAAGTCATTATCAATAAAGGTATGTCATTCTCACATGCCAAACTTTTTTTTACCACATAAAGCACTGTTACATAATGTTTATGCAGAAGTGTTTCCAGGATTGAGTGTAGCAAAATCCAATATTCAGAAATTCCAAAACCTCATCAAGTTATCATCACATACTGAACAATTTTAGAAAGTAACAACAATCAGAAAACCATTTTCATTGGAAGATGACATGTTATACTATGAGAGAAAGAAGTACACATTCATTAATACAAATGAGACTCCAAGGAATGTCTGTTAAAAGCACACTTCTTGTCACAATGAGTACTGCTACACAAATAATTTTGAACCACATGCTTAGCATTACACAGTTAAATGGAAAGTAATTTAAATGGAATTAGTTCTTCTATAAGAAACCAAGTTTAAGATAAAAAATAAAGATAAACTTAGTATTTCAGAATCAGAGTAACCATATTGTTTTCGGAGATAGTTTTAGTAAATACATTAAGTAAATACATGTCTACGCTGCTAACATTGGATGTTCTTGCTTTGACAACATATGGAAATGTAGCCATATTTTCTCTTTCGCTTTTAGAGTTAGATGATGCTGGGAGGGGGGATGTGGATGAGAGTCCAGTTAGTCATAACAACAATAACTCAGCAATAGGAATCAAGGTTATTGCGCCCAGAGCTGATAAAGATTTGGTGGGCTGGAGAGCTGGGGAGAAAGCCTGTGCTTCAAGCTAATTGGGGAATGTGATTTATGACTGTTAATTGTAGGAGGGAATTGTGCTTTGCTACTTTGTGCAGGAGGGGGGGAATTCAGTTTTTGGCTTTAACTATGTAGTGCTGATACTTTGTTTCTTGAATAAAATATTCTTTAAGGTAAACAATGCCTCAAAGTTCTTTTAAAGAGTTTCATTTGTCGGAACCATGACATTATATTTACTTTAAGTAAATACATTAAAATACATTAAGTAAATCAAACCAAAGTCAGATAACATTGTAAAAACAGCACATAAGGTGTGCAAGTTTTCTCCAACACAAAAATTACACCTAGGCAAGAAAACAAAACAGCCTGTAGAACTAGATTATGTTTACTACCTTAAAAAACAGAAAGGCCACAACATATTTACTTTTACAAGAGAACTATAACTATAGTTCTATATTTATAGTTCTCTTTCTATTTATAGAACTATAAATAAAAAGATTAAAAAGAATATTTTGAGCCAATTTTGAAGGATCAGATGATAATATTAAAGTTAAGCTTTTATATTTACATATTTCAGCGAAAGACCTTAGAGGGATCCTAATAGATAAAGTTAAAATTCTTAAATTGAATTTCTGATTTCATAGATGTGTTAGTGCCACTTTCTTGGCAAAAGTATGGGAAGAGTTTGACATTACATTCTTCCAGAATGTATTCTAAATTCCCAATCTATCCTAAAATCCTGGATTTCGCACATGATCTCTTGGTTAATAACTGAACATAGTGAGAACAGACTGTTCCCGGAAATACGAATAGAATAGAATAGAATAGAATAGAATAGAATAGAATAGAATAGAATAGAAAAATAACTTTGTCACTTTAAATGTACACTGATCAGTATGCATGTGATTTCATTACATACAGCTCTCAAAGGGCAACCACTTCCAATATACACTGCATAAATGTGACAATAAAATAAATAAACAAATTTTGCATGTACCCATAAACACACAGAGAGAAACAATAAAGTCTGTAATACGCTGTAATATACGGAAATTTTTGAAGCTGCATTTCCTGAAATGGCATTTCTCCCTTCAAGGTAAAAAAAAGCTGTGGCATATAGACATATTTGTAGTCCACAGTGGTGGTGTCATACAACCAGCTAGGGGTGGGGTTGTGTCCTAGATCTGAACTGCACCATCAAGATGGTAAGAGGGAAGTGTCTATATACTTTCCCCAAGTACATATCTCCATTCCATAACCCTGTTCTTAATTTCCCATTTTGTCACCAAACCTATGTATTTCAAGCTGTCAAATACTCTCTAAAAGGATTTCTGCTTAGCAAGCTCATTACTGTATTCTTACAACTCCAGATAATTACCATTTTTATTTTCCTGCACAGAGTGTAGCTATGGGACTGTTATCTATTTTATTATTTTGCAATTTTTAGTTTTTTACATTTATATTTAACTATTTAATTATATTTGTAAGAGCTACATCGGAAGGCTACATCTTGTACATTGTAAGTACAATGTTATGAGTGGGCCTGTGTGTCTGTGTGTATATACTCAAATAAATTAAACTGCATAGACAATCTGTGTACATCTGTGATAAATTTAAATTTATGTTTGCAAATGGAAGTGCATAATTATTATAAGTATATTTGTGGAAGCAATAGGAGACAACGTAAAAGGAAGTGCAAAGAGAAGATGCTATAAATAATTTTCTCTACACATCATGAATTATCATGGGGTCCTTAATTACATCTTTTTAATGAGCTATTGACTCCTAAAGTAAACAAGTGCCTAACAAAATCCATCTTAAAATGCACTGCAGACATCTGTCTGCATATTATTAAAAAGAACACCGAACAATTAAGGAAAATTTAGAAAGTCTTGTCGAGATTCCCAATTTGGAATAAATTATCTTGCAGGTGTTTCAATACTTCTCTTTCTATAAATGTTGTGTGTAATTGTATATGATTGGCTTTGTATGTGGCCATTCTTTTCCATTGCAGCAGTAAGAAAAAGCAGAACAGAAAAAAAATGTCCATTTTGTTGCATTGTAAAGGGACAATATCATTTTAAAACTTAGGCAACCTCCACAATGCAAGACTAGTCACGTAGCAATAACACACAACACATGGAAACTTGTAATAATTCACAGTAGTGATAGTGGAGAGGGGAATGTTTGCTTTTCAGTGCAAGAAAGCAAGAGACACAAAAGAAAGATCTAAATTCCAGAGCAGGTCCACACAAGCCTATCTTGACCTTGTAAATGGCAAGAAGAACATTGTGGAAGAATGTGCAAAATGCCACACTCCTTTCCCTCAGCTGGAACCCATGATAACATTTCATAACTATCAGCTATTTGGATTCAGTTGGCTGCTATTCTTCAAGTACATTATCCTAAGCATACCATGTTCAAATGGCCCATATGGTAACTGCATCTACTGTCTAAGGAGTTCTTACATTCCAGAACCATTTTGATGACGTACAGAGGGTCATCTTGACCATAAGCAAAATATTCTATTTCTTTTGTTTTGTTTTTGCAAATCCTCTTTGAACAATGTCTCATATGCTGTGAGGGCAGAGGGTCTCAAGTTTAGTTACTGGCATTTCAGGCAAACCACTCTATGTCAACAGCACTGATCAATGACCTGAGTTAGTCACCCAGCATGGTGATTATACTAGTGCAATAATATGTGAAAAAAATCACAAATTGCCTAATACGCCTTCTTCCTCCTAACAATCCGAATGCATTAAAACCCTTTGTGTCTTGCCAAAATCTGTGCAATTTTTGCTATTTATTTATTTAAACTCTTTATATAGTTTCTTATCTCACAATATCTTTGATCTAGCTTAAAGCAGAGAAAAACTCGGAATTACAATAGTTCAGGTTTCAGTTCTGCCAAACAGTGGCTGATCCCAAATGATTTAAGAAACCATTGGAATCAATAAAGGAGAATATTTATAGCTCAGGGTTGAAATGAGGGGTTGTTGGTGCTCTCTGAGCCTTTTGCTTTCTCGCAGACATCTCATTACCCAACTTGTGTTCGTCATCAACATCATCAACCTCTGGAATGCCACATTTATTCAAAACAGAACAATTTCCCTATTCTCTGCCCACTGTTACATTCAAGCAGTGCCCTCCTTCATTCACACTTTCATTTTATGCCATGTGCTTTTATTGGTGATTTCCCAAAACTGAAGTGATAGCTACCAATTGGAGCTGCATCATCCTCAAGGCACTACTGTACTGTATCTTTTTGCTGCATTTTATTTAAAGAGCTGGGGGGGGGAGCAGATTCCAGGCCTGTTGTTCCTCTACAGCAGTGGTTCTCAACCTGTGGGTCGGGACCCCATTTGGGGTCGATCGACCATTTCACGGGGGTCGCCAAGCAAGGCTGTCCGCCATTTTTTTTGTCCACCATTTTTTTTGTCCGCCATTTTTTCCCCCCTTTTCCGGCGGGTGCCTTACCTCCCTTGGGCTGGGCCAGCTGGTGGTCGGCCTGCTCTGTCTCTGCCGCTTGCCAGCTACGCCTTGGCCGGCACAGGGGGCGGAACCACGTATGTGCGGCGCTCCCGGGTAGGGAAAGTCCTCGATTTACGACCGGTTGGGTAGTCCTCGACTTACGACCGGTTTAGTCCTCGACTTACGACCGGTTTAGTCCTTGACTTACGACCGGTTGGGGTCGCGGCATTAAAAAGGTTGAGAACCACTGCTCTACAGGGAGTGGGAAGGCGATGGTGATTGGTGATAAAGAGTTCTTTAAAAAATTAAAGCTGGCCTACGGTGCAAAGTAAATATGTGTACGTTAAAATGTAATCCAAACACATTCATTCCTTCATTGTGGTGTCTCCAAAGGGAATCGTATTGAATTATTTTAGCCAAAACATTAGAACCAGATGATGCAAGCAATATAAAACTCCAGCTAAAGTATTCCTCACTTTGTAATAAGCTGGAGCGATGAGAACATGTTCCAGGGGATGAAACCTGAATTCAACTTAAATGTGATATGATATCAGAAGTGAAGCAATTATAGGACACAGGTGCTCTCTCTCTCTCTCCTATTGTCTAGTTCCATTCTTAGATTTTGCTACGTTCATCACCCTTTGATATCAGCACTGACCTACTTTAAGGAAAATTCTTCATCAAGAAGCAGAGTAGTTTTTGTTCGAAAAGGCAATGAAGGGACAGCATTCATTCAATTTCTAACATGACCTTAGCTAAAGCCCTATAACGAGAAGATTTAATCTTCAAACCCAACTTCACTGTTAAGAGTTCATTTCCAAAGCATGTGATTGGATTATAAACTATCTTACTTGTTCCTGATTTATGCCTTCCACAATATTTTTATTTCAGTAGTATTACTACCATGGCCTGTTGCAATTTTTCCTCATACTTTTTATTTGTTTGATTTTTGTACTGTGACTCAATCAATACTGTATTAACCTAGCCTAAGTGCTGCCATTAAATGCTTTCCTTAATCTCCTCTAGTTCTTTGCTGTGAGCACCATTTTATGTTATTATTTCCAGTGTGTTTGCAAGTGATACTCTCACTACATATAATCACTTCTTTCCTAAGAATGTATTGCCTGTAACTAAAAAGGCACCAAATGGGGAGTAGCAATGTGACCCAGGCATTAAATTACTAAGTCATTGCATGGTATTGTAATTGCGGTACAAACAGTATGACTGTAACTTCTCACAGCCTCTAAAACAACTGTGCAGGAATAGATAAATAAATACAACAATGGCACTAAGAATCAGCTCTAAATGCTACAATTGCAGACCAACAAAATATATATTTTGTAGTTACTTTATAGACATCTATAATTCACCACTGCTTTAAGATTCCGAGAAGCTGTTTCATCTGAAAATTCCTGTTAAATTGCCAAGCAAAACACTTTTTTGTGTGAAAAAAGTGAAACAATTATTACCAAAAATTGGCTCTGGAGTAGTGTTCCATGTAGAGTTGTTCATCGGAAAAAGGAGCCAAATGAATGTCACTAAATGTTGGAAACATCATTCCTGGTGAACAAAAGATAATATACAGTAGCAAACTTCAAATCTTCTATGTAGTCCTTAAAAAAATTGAGTGGAAATATCCAAGAGGCATCATTTACTATCCATCCCATACATTTTTTTTTATAAATTAACAATTAACAATTATTATTTTTTGCTGTAATTTTTGGTCACATTTTAGTAAATTTATTGACAACAAGAGAACACTTAAGATGATAATGCTACCTTACTGCCACAAACTGATGAAGCATTCATATTTTTAATACATTAACAATTAGATATTTAAATAAAATCCTTAAAAGCAAGTTCATCCACCACTATTGGAAAAACGGGATTATATTTCTTAAACTGAAGATTCAAAATATAGCTTATAATTATAATAATTATTACTAATCAATCATCAACTTTTTCAGGGATTCATTGTAGAGAATGTTAGACATTGTCAGTATTAAAAAGTAGAATATTAAGGAATATCAAATGACCACAAAGCATTGTACAAATCCTATGACTATTTCAATGCAATGTAACACTGAATTATGACCACATTATAGACTTATACTGCCTATCAGTCATCCTTCACGTAAATAAAAGCTTAACTCAACATTTGGGAATGACCAGATGAAAGCATTTCAATAGGTAAATTGTTTAATAGCTTAACAATATAGAGAACTAGCACATGGAGGAAAGACAGGACATTTAAAAGAAAACAAATATCCTTTAAATTAATGACTGTTAGCTAGGAAGACAATTGATTCATTTTTGTAGCTTGATGGGCAAAGTATTGTTAATGCTACTTTCAAAAAGATATTGATTATACACTAAAATTCTAAAGCTCTTTAGTCTGAAGCAAGTCACTGAACTCAGTTTTGTTCAAAGTAAGTTGTTTCAATTTAGCAATATTATAATATAAAGGCAACTCTTAGGATTAAATAATATAGAGATAAATATATCCTTATTGCCACTCTTTGTTCTACAAATGAGGAAAAAATATCATTAGCACATTACTATTGAAATAGGATTTAAATTTTAGTAACAAGAACCACAGAAAGGAAACGTTTAAATGGAACAATTAGGCCAAATCAAAAATTCACTTTAAAATATAGGTTAAATGTTGTGGTTCCTGGGTTAGAAAAAGCAGAAAAACACCCTACAGAAGTTGATTTTCTACACTCCACTCAACCCACATATTCTCTAAAGCAGTGCTTTATTGATAAAGCTTGCTTGTATTACACAAGTTTTAAATAGGATTAAAAATCATTTTTCCTCTACTTCCTCTTGATCCATATTTTGGTGCTACCCGGGCAGAAGGAGACTGGGAGATCCCCTTTCTTGACTTAAGATTTTAACCTAGTCTGGAAAACAAGGGACATGGCTGCTGGGTAAGATAGAATCATTTAATCTATTGGCTGCATCAAGATAACTTGAGGAAAAAAAGCAATTAATATGTAATACTGTGTGCTAAAAGGAAACAAGCAATCTGTCTTGTTAGTGGCTACATTTCATAAACATATGCTTCTGTCTGTGAGATGCAAACCCTCGGAACCTGTAAATGTATAGACTCACCACTGGACTTCAGCCATTTTTTGGAATGAAGGTAACTTTCCAGCATCCTTTCATTGAACAGCATGTAACCCATTGGCTCAGAAACTATAACATCTACCCTTTCAGGTAGTGTGATTTCCTCAATTTTTCCTGAGAGAACACTGATCTTATCAGCCACGTTGTTACTCTGGACTAAAATCTGTAAAGTAATGAAATAGTAGGAAAAAAATATATGTATTAGCTTTGTTGATTCACAGATAAGTTAATGTAATATCAATTTTGTGCATTAATGGAACTCTACCCAGCTGTCTTCGCTTATCTTTTTTATGGAATTCATTTTTCAAAAAAGGGATATAAATAATACATCATGTTTTTGTATTCCGTACTGTATGCTCAGTTTGTTAAGTAAGTCGGAATCAAAGTTAAATTAATTAAGATATTTATTATCAAATTTATGTAGCTACCCATCTCATTGACACGACTCTGGGCGGTGTACAATAAAATGAACAATTAAAATAGATCTTAAATAACCATTAAAACAATTAATATAAAATATAAATAAGGAGAATAAGGAGAAGTCAACAAAATCTCATATACAATATAACAATTCCCTAGGAATAGATTTTCGCTGAGTGAAAGATATAATCACTGCAGTTTGATTTTTATTTGTGTTTATTAACCTTTATGTTCCATCTTTTTAGTAAATTGGCAGAAGGCCAGTATGATTCAGTTATAAATCCTGAAAGTTTCTTTCCTTTACCTAATCACAGTTGTTGGAAGAAAGCAAAGCTACTGTATTAATCCAAAGAGTTCTTGCCTTCTGTTGCTACAGTGTATAAATTTATGGAAATATTTGCTCTCATTCCTAAGTAGTTCTCAGAAGCTGTATTGTAATAAGAAATCATTTTACTGCCAAATTCTTACACTGAAAGCATTTTGTGCAATAGGCTAGTGAAAGATTTGTCTGTGGATATGGCAGAGTTAGGATACGAATGAAAAGACAGTTTATTGAATAGGTCCTAATAAGGTTATCTGCATATTTTGTTAATTGTAATTCTAAAGGGTCAAAGTAGATAATTTTACCCAAATCTTTACAACCATGGCTCTTAGATTCTCAGAAATGCTATACTTTAATCCAACAAATAAATAATATAGTTGCTGTGATAATGTGTTTATGAATGAGCATGAAATGAATCATCCCTGCAAAAAGAGTACTATATAATTTCTAAAGAGGATTTAATGGCATTCTGTACAATATTGTCATATAGATTTTGACACTGTTAGCAACCATAAATACCAAGGACTTGTTATGTTCCCCAATTCCTCTTTTCTGTTGCAGCTTTCCAACTCTTTTCAAAATACAGCCATTATCAGTATATTGCAAAATGCTCTCTATAATTTGAAGCAAACCCTAAACTACTATTTTAGATTAAGGTGGGTTACAGACAGTAATTATTAAAATGCAATTAAAATGAATGAAAGCAGACCAAAAGTTGAGTTGAACAGATGAATCACTAGTACAGTGAATGGTTATTCAAGTATCTCCTTGCGTAATATTAAATTACTGTACCTATACCTGCTTTGGAACAGAAAGGGAAAAGATTGTGTTTGGCAAACTGTGAGCTACATCTAGCCTTTGCAGGCAACCAGTGCTGCTGTTGTTTGGCTCTCTGTATATCCCTAGTGAGTTGTGCTATTATGATGACTTCTGACAGTCCATTAAGCAGCAGCCTGGCTGGTTTTTAAGATCATGCTGAGGAAAGACATCAGGACAATTCCCAAACAGGACTGGAGCCCTGATGCTCTTTCAAGTGACTGGTGGGCATTAAGAGGACATTTAAATAGAGAAAGCCCTTCTTTTTGTAAGATGGCAATGTGTGAATAAGCCCTAAAATATTCCGATTATGCATATTTTTCAGCATTATTTTTCACTTCTTAGTCCAGAGCTATAGCTACATCATTTAGAACTAAATTTCTTGTCTTAAATTCTAACCACATTTGTGGTTTTATAAGTGAAGACAAGAACATTGAAATTAATGATTTAAAAGCATGCATGTTCATGAAATTCATTAAATAAAAAATTAAAGTTGCTTTACATTGAGACACACATGCACATGTTCAAATCTAAATTTAAAGGAACTAATCTTGAGATAGTCTAATTGGTTGAAAATATTATTTAAAAAATAACTTCATGGTTCAAGTGAGCAGAATAGTAGAAAGCAAGACACTAGATTAGTTCCAGGCTTTTATAATGTGTGATAGATTTTTTTTCCTATAATGGATCAAGTTATTAAATAAAGTTTCTGCTTTTCCTTAAGAAAATAAAATTATCCTAATATCAAGGATGCACAAGTCTTATAATTTTTAATATCCCAGCTATTCTCCAAAGTCAGAATTTTTATACTGACATGTGTTCATAGTTCTATAATAGTCTTAATCTTATTGTGAATTCATGATGCCCCAATCTCTGAGCTGACTCAATTTTGTCTTGTAATACTTTTCACATTAATTTAGCAAAGCAGCAATATCTGAGGTCAAGCTGAATTATCAGTCAACAGAATTATTTATTTATTTAAAACATTTATACAACCACCCATTCTTATAGCAAACTCTGGGTGGCTCCCAGTCAAGAATTAAAAAAAACCCCATAAAAACATAAAAAACTATTAAAAACATAACCATTAAAAAAAAAACCTGGTGTCCAGTCAAGCTTCTGACATACTGTCATCTCATCCTATCCCAGCACTTGGGGTTGAAGCCAAGTCTCCAGTGCTTTTCAGAAGGCTAGGAGAATGGAGATCTGTTGAACTTCTGGGAGAAGAGCGCTCCATAGGCCAGGGGCTGCCAAGGAGAAGGCATGCTTCCTAGGTCCCATAAAGTAGCAATGTTTAAGACAAGGAACTAGGAGTGTGCCACCTATCTAACCTGGTGGGACAGGTAGATGTCCTTAAAGAAAGATGGTTCTGCAGATAACCTATCCCTGAACCATTTAGCTTTAAAGGTGATAACCAGCACCTTGAATTGCACCCAAAAGGAAACTAGAATCCAGCTCCTGCAACAGAGTGTTACTTGGGAAACGTAAAGGCACCCATATGCCACTCCATTCTGGACCAGTTGACAGTTCCAGGTGGTCTTCAAGGGTAGTCCCATATTAAAAAGCTCAGCTATCAATCTTCGGTGCTGGTTTTTCAAGAGAAGCATCAGACTTCAAAGGCAAAGCAATTGATCCCCAAAGCCTTGAGTAGAAGACAGCTGATGAAAACAACATCTGTTGCAGCCCTATTTTAGCTTGTATCTAACCATTACAAATGCTATGTTCCCAAATCAACAGTTTTTCAAAGCTGACTGATCTTTTGTAAGGTCTGATAATGATTCCTCTGGTGTGACATACAGTATGTCACCTCTACATCATGTTACTGTCATGCTGGGCTGCAGGAATGGCCTATGATTTGTAATGGTACGAGGACAATTTGACAATGATGTTATTTCAAAGCAGATTCACTTCACAGAACAGCTGGAATCTAAAGCTTGGGAGCCTAAAGAATCTATCTTTGAGTTTCAAAAACTGGCTGCAAACTCTGATTAATACAAAAGAGGTTAGACTGCCAATTTTTGCTCGAGTCTGCAAATGAGGGCTGGGGGAATGGGATTGGGTTATTTGATTCATTAATCCTTAAGTAAGCCATTCATGTTCAGATGTTAAGAGATTAGGGAACAAAACAAGGCAGACTATATGTAACAATAAAGATAGTCTTTGACTTATGACTAGCCATTTAATGATCATTGGTCTGGTGCCCCTTGGACATGTGATCTCATTTTTGGGTAGTTGGTAACCAGCTTACATTTACAACCAGTTGGCCATTTAAGGAAGGGATGGAGCTTATAAAGCTAATACTTTGTACAGAACCAATAGGCGCAATCAAAACATGTATACTATAGATAAACCTGTGCTCCTATTTCTCTACTTGTTATTCATGGCTGAATTCCCAAACAGGATATAAAACACATAAATTGTGCGTTCTTAAAACCATCAGTAATGAAGAGGACCTTTTTCCACTCACCTTTTCTCTAATTGTTATACAAATTTGTTAACCCGGTTTCCCTTCCTCTGGCAGGGACAATTTTATAATTCATGCTCCGGTACACTGTTATGTGCAATATGAAGACTTGCAGATGTTACATGATTAACCAGTTCTATTCACTGGGGAGATTATATTTTATCAATATTAAAATAGATTCATTATTTATATAAATTCAGCTCCTGGTGCTTGCTATCCATTAATGTTCCCCAAACATGGAATGACTCCTGCAAATTCTTGAAGTTGCCAAATCAAAAACCTCTGGATGAGGCCAAATTGAAGAAGGTTGCCCTGCTCAAAGTAGGACACAGTTGTCTAAAACAGGGGACCCCAACCCCCGGTCCAGGGACCAGTACCGGGCCACGGCATGCCAGCAACCGGTCTGCACAAACAAGCAAAGCCCCATCCGTGGGACGCAGGCAGCACACAAAACCACGCACTGTCTGATACGCGAAAAAACCTCTCTCCACGGAACCGGTCCATGGTGTCCAAAAGGTTGGAGGCCTCTGGTCTAAAAAATAATGTCTGTACCATTCTCTATATCTACTGAGGTTATCCTCAAAAGGTTTTTTTTTTAAAGCATCCATATTATTCGTGGAAAGGAAAGTTACATAAACTCTAACAGGCTTTTCCTAGCAGGAGTCCAAAGTTTATCCAGATAGGCATGATCTGTGGCTATTCTTCAGCTTTTGGGCATCAGCCAGAAACGTCATTGATTTTCCTGGCCTTTCAGATAATTTAAAATGCTTTAATTAAAAGTGAGTTAAAACAATGAGTTTTAATGTTCAATATCAATGTTTTTATTTTATCTTTTTAATAATAATATTAACCCCACTTAGGACAAATGTTGAAGAAAGAGGAACACAGACGTATTAAAGAAACAGGAAATTTCTTGGACCAGTACAGATCTAACAGTGTTTCCCAAAACATGATTCCTTAAATAGAAAACCTTGATTTGATTCATTAAATAGAAAACCTTGCCTGGAGGCAGATGCAGCAAGCATCTGGAAGAGAGTGTGAGCTTCTTCTCTTTGGGCCTCTGTTCAAAAGGAACCCCGTTGCCAAAACGCCCAGAAAGACCTCTCTTTCCCCAGCCTTGTGTGCCAAATGCTTCTGTATTCCTCAAGGACTAATTCTTTATTTCTAATGATCCCATCAGTAGTTGACCTCTCCCTTATACTTTACAGAACGTTTTCCTTATGCCGGTTGCTCCCATGCTCTGTTTGTACAAGTGCCCTCCATAAAACTCCTCCATCTTAACATCACTTTATTTCTCAGACTTTGCAAAAGTAATTTTAAATCCAAATTCTGGACACAGCTATTTGAAAACATCTCGTTATTTCTGTAGAACATGCTCCCAGCTAAACGTGGGGGCACAGCATTGAAAAGGTCCACTCCAATTATACAGCAGTTCAGTTAGTTCTGTAAATAGAACCAAAGCAGGTTCAGTGGGATTTATTTTGATATCCAATTTAAAAGTACAGCTTTAATCCTACTATCCAGCTTTCTCTGGCCTCATATCCCAAGGCATGCTATCGTGTATCCTTATAATTTAGGCTGTGTGAAACACATCTGTAAGTCCCATACCAGAGGAAGGTAAACAGACTGGGAAAAGATCCATTAATACTTTCTTTTTTTTTAAATGCACCATTTATTTGAGATGAAGTAAAGAATGTTTCTTGCAACTGTAATTCAAGAACAAAGTCATGCAAGAAAGATCTGAAAGCTAGATAGGTAAATTAGGTAAGCTAATTATTTGCAATATTCTAGCATACTGGTGAGGGCTGAGTCCATAGGGTGAATGATAAGGGATTTCCACTTTCCTCTCCCAGACTCTATACTCTCCTGACCTACCTTCCTACTTTGGAACAACTGCTTGGTAGTTTAACAGCGGCCACCAGTTTTCTGCTTAGGCTATGTTCTAGGTCAGGAGTAGGCAACCTTGGCTCTTTTATGACTTGTGGACTTCAGCTCCCAGAATTCCTGAGCCAGCATAGGAATTCTGGGAGCTGAAGTCCACGAGTCATAAAAGAGCCAAGGTTGCCTACCCCTGTTCTAGGTGACACTTTACCTCTTAATACCAACATGTGGGACTTATAGGGATTCCCCCAATTTGTACTGTCAAATCAAAGAAAAACAAGATGGAAAAAAGTGGGGAAAATATTCTATTGTGCCACCTATCATAACTCTAGTACAGGCAGTCCTCATTTAGCAACCGCGAAATGAGCAGTCAGCATTTGGGCCTGCAACTTGGTCGTGGAGGAGAGCAGTGAAACCGTAACTATGCTTAGAATCTTGCTTCCACTTTGCTTTGTTTTACAGACCTACAAAGGTATAAATGCAAGGATTCGCTGCGAAGTTACTTTTTCATCACCCTCATAAGTATGGACAGTTGCTAAGCAAGCCAGTCGCTCAACGAGGACAATACCAGTACACACTTGACATATGTGCCGTAAGCAAAGCTGCCAGCCCAGTTGATCAGATGGTTAAAAGTGACAGTGAGAAGTCTGTACATTTAACTTTCCAAGAATCTGTTACTGTGTTTTTATAATGAAGTAGAATTGCTCATCATTTTTCCTGTCTGATTCACTAGGGAGGGCTGACAAAACCAAGACTTACTTTTGAGGCTCAATAAAAATGGTAAAGTCCACTTATGTCAACCTCCTGAAATGCCACATGTGGCTAACATTCCCCACTGTATTTATTTGCTGTTCTCTTTCACAAAGTTCTCTCCCTTTCACTTTCACAGCTTGGATTTCAAAATAACCATCTTTTTTTTTTCTCTAGAGAAGGAAGTTGCTTAGGAAATTCCTTTTTGTCTTACCTGGCTGAGTCTGAATTTCTCTCCTTTGACTACATGCATTTCCAGCCACTGCTCTTCTGTAGGCTAGTATTAACTCACCTGCTTGATAAATATTTCCATTCTGGAAATTGGCTGTGAATGTTATGTTGGCTGGAGCAAGTGAATGGGGTAGTGTGCTTGGCCAGTCACTATATCTACATTCAAATGAATATTGTTTGTGATATGCTTACGATACTGCTGAGATGGTCGCAACATCTTAATTATAATGCAGGTTTCATTACATTTGAATTAATCTAAACAGCTTTAGAACTTTGCATAAATTACACAGCTACTTCCCTGGAATCAGAGAAAGAGGGAGGGAGGAAGCAATATCCACTGAATTCATTAGCCTTTCTGAGTTATGTAGTCTAGATCTGTGATGCTAATTCAATTCCACCATCTTGACCAGACTGCAGACTAAATCAGCATAACTTGCACATTCCACATGCTATTACTGTACAATATTTGAAGTGAGACATGAGAAATTCCAGGAAAAAAACCCTGCTTGCTTTTCCCTGAAATATGCCCAGTATTCTTGGTTGACTGTAATTGCTAATTAGTTTAAATCCTTTTTACAAGAGATGAGTTTTAATTACCAAAGGTTTTAGAGTATTTCAATATAGAAAAAAAATAATTGAATGGTAGCCAATAAAGATAGTTCTAATCAAAAGTTGTATTTTACTTTAAATTTCAATGGTACATTCAATTGCTACTCCTTGTTATTAATTTACCAATGAAATGGTTCCTGCCTCATTTGCATTATACTGAATAGGCCTATTTCTCAAACATAAAGCAGCTATTGCAAAGATACATTATAGTTGTTAGCAGGAATAGTGAGCCCCTTAAATCTGCCTCCACCATCAAGATATAATTTTGTTTAATGAGTTTCCTACTTTCACACAGATCTCTAAATGTGCTAGTTTGTAGTTGCTTAAGTGGGAACAAGTTAACAACTTTATTTAACATGTAGCTTCAGAATGAATTATGCTCTTCAAGACACGATCCTGATGAAACACTGAAATAAAATTAACCTAAACTGTTTGAACACCTTTATTTCAGCTAGAAATACTTTTGTTTCCTGCACGCACAGCAAAGCAAACTAATGCAGTAGTTCATCAAATCTAACATACTCACCTCGGCATATTTAGCCACCGAGCTAGCTTCAACAGCATAGACTTTTTTAGCACCAGCTTGCACAGCGAAAAATGAAAGAATACCTGATCCGCATCCAACATCTAGGACCACCTTGAAACAGAAAAATGGATGAGGATGAATATGCCACTGTATAAGGCTTTATTTATATTTTAGATCTTATCAGCAGATTCAGAAAGTATAAAAACCCTCTTGCCAATCAATGCTATCAAATATTTATAAATATTATATATGATATTGCCAATCTTCGAGATCTTCTAACTAAAACAATGCTAAGGTTTTCTTTGTGAAATTGAAATATTGCATCAAATTCATAACATAATTATTTGCATATTTTATTAATTATAGTACAAAAAAGTGAATAACAAGTCTTGAAATCACAAGCTCTTACTATGATAAATTTGGAGAAACTACAAATAAATTGTAATTTATTTTCTCTGAGGGAATTCAATAGTTGTTCTTGCTATTGTACTTCCTAGCAGAAGCATTAGTGTAAGTATGAAAAAGAAGCAAGATCAGATGCTGTAAGATTATTAACACAGGTAGATCTTGCAAATTCTTTTCAAAGCATTTTATTCCATTAAATACACTCCTAAAGTCAAAAAGCAATAATAGAAGCATGTTTTTTTTATTTCTTTAAGAATCTACTTAGCAAAAGTGGTGAAATAACATAACTCCCTATACAATGTTTATAGATTAACAACTACAAAAAATTGTGTTCAAGTGGACAGTATTTGCCACACTCCATCCCAGAAAGGAAACGAAGTTAGACTATACTACACATTTATGTACGGATGGATGTATCTGTATACCTCCTGACTCCCAGTGACTCTGGGCAGCTAATAAATTCATTCTTTAATTAGTCTCTTTACTCTAACAAACTCAAAATGAATAAATTGATTTTTACCAGTTTATTACCCACATTCATGCTTCCTAGGTCTGCTGTAATGTATTAGAATCCTAACCCTTTCGTGGGTGACTATATTTACTGAATTTTTCCTGCCTATCTCCATGCCTTAGTTTACGTTGATCTAATCAGCATCATTTTGAGGAAATAAATGCAAACATACTTTACTGTTTCGACATGCTAAATAAAGAGAACTGAAGTAATGCTATAACACTATCTCTAATAGTACAGGTCCTAGATTAAATCCTAGCTTTGCTATTAAACTTATTATATTTAAATATTGTGTTGTTGTAGTATAGATAATATAATAAACTGATTATATTTAAATAAATGATTGTTGCTTTCTAATTGAGTGCTGCTTTTATACATAGCTGATTTTGTTTGGACTGAGAAGAAGTTTAAGCGAAGTTACATAGGTAAGAAAATGTATTAGCTGCCACTGAGTAAATCCTTCCATCCAAACAGTTTACTGAACACTACAAATTATGCTATACAGATTTATGAAGCTTAGCATCTCCAACACTTTTACCAGATTGTGTTTGAATAATAATTTATAGTATATTTGTTGAACGATTTCAAAGTGTTGTGGTTTATGGCTGATTTTCATCTCTTGGATTAACTTCCCCAGTTATACACTGGCTGCATGCATCATGAGAGTTAGGACCAGCAGTGTTGAAAGTTCTGAAGATTCTCCACCATTTTTTAAAATTATATTTTACTGGTGGATATTACTTTTACTTTATTGTGAAGGGTGCTGGCCCCTGGAACATTTTAGCAACGAAAAGACAGATTGAAAATATTCAAATGCATTTCAAAAATTGTATATAAACTAGTTATGCTTCCCCAGCATCATATAAAAGAAGAGAGCAGAGTAATGCCAGACTGAAGGTAGGAGGTATATTGGCTTCAGAGCCATTCTAGCTAAGCAACAATTCATTGCCTCTGTCTGAAATCAGAGAAAGATGGAAAAGACAAAACAGTAGAAGGCAGGAGGGACACATCGTTTCTTTTTTTAAAAAAGTTTTATTATTATTATTTTAACAGAGTTCAATAATAATTATTCAACAAAAACGTGTTGTCTGAGTATCTTATTCACTAATACAAATTAAATTCCTAATCCCTAAATCTTTTCTCTAACCATTGATAAAATAGGTCCCAAGTTTGAAAATATTCTGTTTCTTCTTTTTCTTTCAACTTTAAAGTAAGTCTGTCCATTTCCGCACAGTCTAATATATTTTTTTATTATTTCTTCTTCTGGTGGTATTTCTTCGTTCTTCCAATATTGTGCAAATATAATTCTTGCCGCTGTAATTACATGTAGAATCAAATATATACTTTGCTTATCGAGTTTTTCTGGCATTATACTTAATAAAAAAAATTCAGGTTTATAGTCTATGTGTTTCTCTAACATTTTTTTCTAACCAAGTGTGGATTATTGTCCAATTATCTTCTTGCTTTAACACATGTCCACCACATACGATAATAAGTACTTGGTTTGTGTTTACATTTCTAACATTTCTCTGACATGTTTTTAAACATTTTTGCTAATCTTGTTGGTGGGCAAATGTCATCTATAAAACATTTTATATAAATTTTCTTTGTTTGAAGCTGACATTGTCAATGTATAGTTTCTTTCCCACAAACTTTGCCTCTTTTCTAAGTCTATATTATATCCAAAATTCTTTGCCCATACTATCATTGTCTCTTTTACTTGTTCATCTTCCATTTTGAAATTTAATAAGAAATTGTACATTTTTTAATTAACTTTTCATCAGAAGTTAATAATGTCTGATCAAACATAGTCTGTTTTTTGTAAAATCCATACTGTTTAATATCTTTATCATATCTGACTTGCATTTGTAAATGTGACCACCATGTTAAATCGATGCCCTGATTTTCCATCTTTTGCTGGATTTTAAGTTCCCTTCAGAATTTAGAATATCTTTGTATGTCCATATTTTATCAAGATTGACTAGATTTGGATGTACGAATACTTCCATTGTTGAAAGCCATGCTGGAATTTTCAAATAAATTTTACATTTTATTTTTTCCCAAGTTAATAATAATGCATTTCTAATGTAGTGGTTTTGGAAGTATTTATGTATTTTATTTTTTATGTACCATAGAAAAGCATGCCAACCAAGTTGCAGGTCATGTCCCTCCAGATACAGCAATCTTTTATTTTTAAGAGTTATTCATTCTTTTATCCATGTTAACACTGATGCTTGATAATATAAAACCCAATCTGGCAAACCAAAGCCTCCATTTCCCTTGGCTTATTGTAACATTTTCAATTTAATTCTAGCTTTCTTTCCTTGCCAGATAATTTTTTGAATTAAAGAGTTTAAATCTTCAAAGAATTTTTTCTCCAGTTTTATAGGTATTGTTTGAAATAAAAATAATATTTTTGGTAATATATTCATTTTCACCATAGCAATTCTTCCTAACACCGACAGTTGAAGATTCTTCCATTTTTCCAAATCAAACTTTATTTGGTTTAACAATTTAATGAAATTATCTTCTTTTATTGCTGAACATCTTGCTGTCAAATATATTCCCAAATATTTGATCTTTTTGACTATTTGCAATTCTATTTTTCTGATAACTGCTTTTTTTGTTTATCTGTAAAAAATTTAACTATCACTTTAGTTTTTTCTCTATTTATCTTTAATCCTGCTATCTCTCCAAATTGTTCTATCTTTTCCAACAGTTTAGGAATCGTCTCTAAAGGTTCCTCTAGAGCAGTGGTTCTCAACCTTTCTAATGCCGTGACCCCATAATACAGTTCCCCATGTTGTGGTGACCCCCAACCACTTATACATCGCCGGGTGCCAGGGGCGTGGCCAAGTGGGTGTGGCCACCAAGTGGGCGTGGCCGCCAAGTGGGCGTGGCCACCATGTTGTGTAGGCAGAATCTGCCCAATATTTGCTGAAATACATTGCACTCAGATTTCATTCTGGGAATGAAATATTAAAAAGGAAAAGAGCAGAAGAAATCAACTTTTATAGGGGTAAAAGTTTGGTAGAAGGACCTTCAGTATTGTACATTAATTCGTGAAGTTGTTTCATTAATGAGCATTATTTGAGTAGGCAATCAATTAAGAAGTTGCACCATCATGTAAGGAAAGAAAAGAAAATTAAACAAAAGAAAAAGAAAAGGAAAGGAAAGGGGACAAGAGGACAGGACAGGACAAGGAACAAGAGAAAAGGAAAGGAGAGGGGGAGGAGAGGAGAAAAAGAAAAAAAGGAAAGAAAAAAGAAAAGGGGAGAGGAGAGGGGAGGGGAGGAGCCAACAGGAGTCAATATTTTCTCAAATGATGATCAATGATTCATCCACAATATGCAACATTGATCCTGAAGTCCAATTTTTTTTCCACCAGGCAATCCCCAGGCTACTATAATTCAGAAAGAGGAGGGCAAGCTGCCCATTCTTAACTTCCCATTGCTGACCCACCATCTCTCCAGGTTTAAGGGATGGGAAATCCTGTTGTTTTTTTCTTTTTTTACATGCAGCAATAAGCATCTTCCCCTTGAGTAGAAAGGTATTCCCAAATGAAGGACTTATTTATATATCCTATTTAGAAACCACCCATCTCCCTCATGGAGTGACTAATGTACTTATACCCCACCTGTATTAATTTTATAAATAACTCAAGGCAATGAACATACCTAATATTCCTTCCTCCTCCTACTTTTCCTGACAACAACCACCCTGTGAGGTAGGTTGGGCTGAGAGAGAGTGACTGAGAGAAGGAGCCGCCGTTAGCTTGTGCTCACTTCCCACGTTCCCAAACGTGGAGAAGCAAAACGCGCCCCACTTTAATATTAGCACAAGCTAACGGCGGCTCCTAGGCAAGCCTACCAAACCTTACGCTCCCTAAAGCTCAGAGGAGAAAGGGTGCAGCCCAAGCCGAACTTTTGATCAGTTGGCGCAGGCACGTGTGGACGCAAGTCCACGCATTCGAGGCTTCCCTCTTTCCACTCTAAAGCCGGTGCCTCACCTTTTGGACCCCGGGGAGAAACGGCGCTGCTTTGGCCATCCGAGCCCCGGCTCCACATCACCCCGCTGCTCCTCAGCCGCTGCTCAAGCGCTCCCCGAAAAGCCCCCGGCGAAGGAAGCACCGCCGCTGCCGCCCGACCCCGCCCGGCCGTTCTTTGG